GAGAGAGGAGAGAGAGAGAGAGGGAGAGAGAGAGAGAGAGAGAGAGAAGAGAGAGAGAGAGAGAGAGAGAGAGAGAGAGAGAGAGAGATGAGTGGTCAGCTGCGTAGAGGGCCAATTATTGAGGGTACGGCGTAATTACCTGTTCAGTGCACAGTTAATTAAAAGGGCAATCAAAGCTTCCGCCGCCGCCCTGTCTCGTTTCAACATACAGGAGTCGCTCCACGAGTTGCGGCGGGCCAATGGAGGATTACGCCACCGGGCGGGATGAGCATTAAAGCTACTGTCAGTTATTCCATTCCATCTGGGTAAAAAGAAAAATTACTGGTGAACGGAATAAGTTTAAAACTGGTGTTATGCTCAGGAAATGATCACACCAAAATTTACAGCATATAGATAATTCACTGTATTTCAATTGGACTCATGTAGAAGCATTCACTACCCGAGACCGTTAGCGCGTTACAAATGGATTCGCTACGCTGGCGGATCTTGAATGGCGGTCTTGGACGCTGTGGGGAGCACATCCCCCAAAAACTTTCTCCAGATTATAAAAAAAACTCATCGGATTTCGATTCATTGCGCACTGCACTTCTGTGCAACAAACGTTTCCTTATAAACGTTGCTTAGTTAGTTGTTGTTTTATTGCCGTAAAAACACAATTTCTGTGGATTTCGGGCGCTGTGTGCGAATGGGGAGGGAGATATTTGCCCAAAATGCCCTTCTCTGGATCCGCCAGTGATTCGCGGCCGATGCTCACAACAAATTCCGTTTTTTAAGGTCCATTTAATCGATGATATCATGTATTTGCGATAAATGAGACTAAATGAATTTTTTTTAGCGGTGATTGACCAATGACCACGGAAAACGAAAATAGCAGAAACAAGGAAAATATGTAAAAGCGTAAAGCGCTGGCTGTGTGGCCACTAAACAGTAGCTATCTCGTTATTATTTCGTCTTTGTGAAACCAGCTCCGACTAATCAATAACGCAGCTCGCATCTTCGCTGGCTGGCCTTCGGGGCACTCCAATCGCCCCCGTATCAGCCCCTCTGAGGGCCGGCCTGTGATGGATGGTCGTCTGCCACTCAGTTCCGCCGCCGGTGCTGGTATACCGGCCCTCAGAGATAACGGTCTGGTGCCGGGCTCCGAGGGGCGTTTTTGTGCCCTTCACTCGTCCCCCGGCGGTGCCCTGAGGCGCCTCCACCGGCCGTCCTTCGCGCCCGTCTGCCCTAGTTGGTGGCCCGCTGGAGGTCGCGTGGCGCCACCCAGGGCCTGGCCACGCCGGCCGCCGGGCCGGGGAGGGGCGGGGCGGAGGGCGCCGATCGTCTCGTGGTCACCGCGGCGGCGGCACACAGAGAGCTGAGCCGTCGGGCCGACAGCACCTGACAGCCCACCGTCCCCGCCATGCGTCTCCTGGTGTGTCTCCTCGTCTGCCCAGGTGAGACCCGCGCTGCCATACACTGAAAACAATTTCACCCGAAGCTGGCGAATTAAGCGTTGCTCTGCGGGTGGTATATGTGTATTAACTCGCCATGTCCAGATTCTAGCTAGAGGGTAAGCAGACTTGCCTGCCTTAGTACTCGTAAATATGCACTGTACCCACAGTCTGCAGTAAGGTAGCTACCCAGCACCGGATATTGTCCCCGCGGGTGTCGAGTCATTGGCACAGCCCTCACTGAAAGAGTTGGAACTACTCGAGGTATCGTAAACGCGTATCCGTGGATGACGAACCTTTACATAACCTGCCCTGAAGGAGTTGGATCTACTGTGACAACTAGATGGCGTTGTCTTATACAGTTTTGAATTACAACAATTTTTTAACTTTTTTTTGAACCAATGATATGTTGGCACATTGTTTGGCGGTTTTCAAGTGGGGGCGAAAGTACAATTGTTAGGGTGCATCTTTAAAACCTCTGCAATATTCATCACGGGACGATTGGCAACGCTTTTTCTTCCGAAACTACCAATTGAGACCATTTTGATTCTTATATAGGTCACGAAAGCAGCGGCGACACATCTTCTTGATTTCGGGCGGTCTGCATGATTGCCGGTGACGAGTCATGTCGAAAATTCTATGGGAATTCGATTTGACCATTCCCACCGATGTGAAACTTTCTCACCGATATTTTCTAGGTGTGAGATTGCTATAAAATTCCCGCAAATATGGTCAAGCGTGGGAGTTTTTTGGCCCTCGTGACTTGGTCGGCGAAGGGTACGCGTGGAGGGTAACCCCATCTCCTAGGGGTTTGTGGGGCGCTGCTGCCAGGTAGGCGTCGATGAATACCTTTCGATGGAGGGGTCGCGAACCACTGGTGCGCGAATAGTCGTGGAGGGTTACTACTCTCCAGAGTGAATTGCGAAAGTGTTATGTCCTAAATTGACTCCTGGGAGGGTGGTTAAAAATGGTTGCGGATAGGGGTACCCGCGAGGCACCGGTATACTCGCCAGTTTTGGGTGAAATTGTTTTCAGTGTAGGCAGGCAGGGGAGACAGACGGTCCCGTAAAACCCGGATTAGTGTGGCGGTGGAAGTTTGAGGGGATTATTGCGTGGTTTTTGAGTCACCACTGGCTGGTTTTTAAAGGGACACGGCCTCACGGTCCAGAGTACATGGCTAATACCGCTGGCCATGTCTATCTTCCAGTCTTCACCCTGAGTTCTGGGAATGCATTTTGAAACTTACGCAAAGCATATGCAAAGTTTTCTTGCGAGAAAGTGCTTGTGAAATAAGAGCAGCCGACATGCATCCAACATTGTTCGTAAGCGATGTCAATATATTTCAGTTTAATTCAATGCGTATAGTATATATGCTTGCTTGGATAAGTGGAACGCGTAAGACTGATAAAGTTCGCCTTTTGTTTTTTCTTTTAGCTTGCTTTTTAGTCAGACACAAAGCAATTTATCTAGCAATCATTTGTTGGACCTTTTTATCCACTCAGCAGCAGGGAAAAAGCTCGACGATGCTGTAGGGCTGTGATCATATCAAAATGAGCTGTCGAAGCGGATGGCATTCAGCATGACCTTCACCGTTGACTGAGTTATTGGTGTAATCGGTTTTGACATGACCTTGGACTGAGGTCATCACCTAAACTTTTATTTCCCATACAAAAAGTAGTTCAATCGACGCAGCTCGACGTAGCCAAGGTGCTTGTGCCAAAATCGATGTTCTGCGGTCATTTTGCCGAAATTAGGCGTAAAAAGATTAGACCCTTATGGCTTGTCTTTAACCTGATTGTTGAGGTCACCAGTTGACCTGTGACTCGAGGATTGGACTCAATCACTGAGTCTCGCAAGGGTGCGCACTGCGCACGCAGGTTTTCTGCGAAGCTCTAGCATAATTAGATGCGAAACGACAAGGTGGGTTGTACCGCTCCCCCTTCGCTCGACCGATGCGTAAGAGAATACCGACGGATCCGGCGAGGGTTGTTTAGGAAATGGACATATGCTGAATGTAGACAACATTATTCATGAGACACATTGACGGTAGGTTTGCAGCTATATAGTAAAAGATAAATAATAGAGCACGAAATACCTTATTTGTATATACTAGCGGACATGTGCCCGTCCTTAGATGGGCAGCGGAACTGGCCGGATCAGGAGCCCGGCTCTGTCGCGGCATCACTAATCCCCGTACCGGCCACTCCATGGCACGGTAGAGGAATGCAGGGATTTATAAAACCCCATCAGCAAGGAAAACATCACGGCTAAGATGTACCGGAAAGTGATTCATCCTGCCGAGCTGCACTAATCTGTCATCATCTGCAAAACGTTCATGACTTAATTAAGATGGTTTATTTGGAAAGTGTATGTAGCTGCTCGATAACACGAGAGCTAAGCTTGCCCAAGTGTTTATACGATGCATTTAATAAACTATTGAAGTAAACATTTTATGACAATCGTATGAATTGAAGCGAAAAGCGCAAACGAATGTCTCTCTCTCTCTCTCTCTCTCTCTCTCTCTCTCTCTCTCTCTCTCTCTCTCTCTCTCTCTCTCTCTCTCTCTCTCTCTCTCTCTCTCTCTCTCTCTCTCTCTCCTCTCTCTCTCTCTCTCTCTCTCTCTCTCTCTCTCTCTCTCTCTCTCTCTCTCTCTCTCTCGCTCTTTTTATCTCTTTATTTCTATTGAAAAGCGGCATTTAATTTGTTCTTATGGCATATATTGTTCGCACGGAAACGATAGTCCAGAATACCGGAGTCCCGGATCCTATCACAACTATCCATTGAAGCTAGACAAATGTATATGAGCAGTGCTGTAAAGTGAAATGTGTGGGTTTCCATGTCGAATGTCCATGCGGCGTCCGAAATCTCGTCTGACATCTCAAGGCCATACGCTATCTGTTGGTGACGCTGTCACTCTTCTCTGAAACATGTCAGGGATATCCAACCGTCCCCTGGCGACCTCGGGGATCTCTGGAACCGTCCCCAGAACCGGTCCTGCCCCCTCGCGCGCTGTAGACGTTCTACGTTAGACGTTCTACGTAGCATCCCACCGCTACCGAGAACATTCAATGACTAATGGCACGAACAGCGCACTTTGCCGAGATCGTGCCTGGCATCTCGGGGGAGGCTGGTTACTCAGAGGACGGTCACTGGTCAGCCAAGGCCACTGGCAATGAGGCGTATCGAAAGTGCACCGGGCTAACATGTGACCTCAGAGATTGTCTGAAGCCACACGCTCACGTCACACGTGCACGCTGAACTCGCATCTTCTGCACAGGGATCCGAAACGAATGAGTACTTTGGAATTAAGTGTTACGTATTGACATGCCTTAGATTCACAAAATTATCAATGGGAGGGTGTGATAGTTATTCGGTGCATTTCACAGCTGTCTGTGACTGGTTTCAGCGGCGCTGGCCGCCAACAGTTTCAACTGCCCTCCGACCGAGAACACGGGCTACTTTGCCGACCCGGACCAGTGCGACAAGTACTGGGATTGTGACCGGGGCCTGGCCACGGCGCGGCTCTGCCCCGACGGCATGGCCTTCAGCGAGCGGGCGCGCCGCAACACGGACCCGTGCGTGCTCCACTGGCTGGCCGGCTGCCAGGGACGGACGCTCCGTGAGTATAGCGCTCAATAAAAGTATGGGTATGAGTATGAGCATCGAGCATGAGTATGAGTGAGAATGAACAGGGATAGATCAGAAGCAAAGGCGAGGTGCGAGTCATGGTTGTAGGTGACGACAATTGATAACGTTATGTTGCCATATCAATTGAGATGAATTGAAGATAAGAGCTTGGCAAGCGTTTCTGAGTATATCACCAGGCCTTAAGTGATTCCTGCTCATTAATTTCCGTCGCACCTGTTGGTAAATATGCAGCATGAAAAGGCGGCTAAGGCCTTCTGACCGTCCAACCTCCTCTCTTCCAGAGGCCCCGAACGGAACGCTGCCGTGCGATCGTCAGAACGGTTACTTCGCTCACGAAGACCCCAGCAACTGCATCGACTACTACCACTGCCTCAACAACGTGCCGTCGCCGGCCACGTGCGCGCCCGGCCTCGTCTTCAACCCCAGGTCGCACGGCTGCGACTGGCCCACCGACGCTAACCGCGAGGGATGCAACACCAGGGCCTGTGAGTCGGGGTCGGCACGGGTCAGAGGGGTGTGCGTATGAATCGACTACCATTTTTGGCTTCTGGCTGGGATGTGTCCGAAACAGTTGACACATAACGCATGCTTTCTCCGTACAGAATAGTGTACAGCTTTTTATCTGCTAACAGTTTCATTGCACATTATTTAACGAAGAATACGTTTGCTTCGTCGTTTAACATAGCAATGATGTCAAAACTCGCAAGGCTAAATAATTGGGACTACATAGCCATCGCATGTGTCAGTCACACTATTTCTGGGCAAATTCTTCCTTTTCGTTTCGGTAAACAATTTTCATTTAATTCATAGGTATGTAACATACCTTACCTGACCACGTATTTATTTTTCGTTTCAGCTGTTGATGGCTTCACCTGCCCCAACGAAATCGTTCTGAACAGCAATGGCCTTCGTGAGCAGCACCCGCGTTACAACGACCGCAACGACTGCCGGTCGTTCTTCGTGTGCCTGGAGGGCGTGACCCCGCAGAAGGTGCGCTGCCCTCTCGGAGAGGTGTTCTCCGAGAACCTCAACAGCTGCACGCTGGCCGAGTTTGTGCCCGGATGGTACGTATCGCTAGTGTTGTAGGGATATATCTCAGTTTGAGCCTCTTGTTATTGCGACATGTTTGCTGATTTTTTATGTAATCCGTCTTAATTAGGTGTTCGATATTTTATTTACTTTAAATCATTGTGGAACACTGATGTGAATTTTCATTGTGGCTGTCGAGAAACGGGTGAATTATCCACAACTTTGGCGACGAAAATTTCATTGCTATCGTTTAGATGATACATGGCTGCACCAAGCACGGTATGCCCCTCGCGAGCAGGGTACCGGCGCGACTGTGCTGTCACCTATACGCAGTCGGTTGCAGCTCACTCCGAGCCCGTTCGCCATCCTACCCCCATTCCGCATTTACGATCCCACCTCTTCTCCATACCTGAGCCTGCCCCTGACGTCGCCCCATATCTGTGTCTCCAGTGAGGACTACTACAAGGACCACCCGCTGAGGAACAGGTTCAAGGATGCCGATGGCGACGGCCGCATCGACGTCAATCTGGAGGCCTTCAGCCAGTTCTGAGCTCGTCGCACTTCCGGCTTGGTGGTTGAAATGCTGCTTTATTGTCAGGAGTTCTTAAGAGCCCTTCTTGTCATGTCTCTACTGGTTTGATGCCACAAACAAAGGTCTTCTTTTCGCATGCGTATGTTCATGTACCGTAGCAAATGAAATATGTTGTCGAGTGATGTTCATTCTGAAATGAAGTGCATCTGGTCAGTTTCGATCGATAAGTTATGGTTGCCGTTGGTTCAGACACACACCATTTATGTGTCATGTTCAGTTGTAGTAGGTGTAACATGTCTACGTTAGTGCGAGTGTACACATACATTTAGATCATTGTATTTGCAGGATCATGGTTAATTTGAAAACGCGGAAAAAGAAATACAATATTTGTCGCTGCATTGTTCCACTAGTTTGCTAATGGAGTAACATAGTATTAGCAAGTACCAGAAATAATGAAAGAGAACATTGACCAATCATCCTCAACGTTAGAAAAATGTGAAATAATAATGAAATAGTTTTATTTTTATTTAAATCAGCAAGTATGTTGATATATTTCGGGTACAACCCTTTATCAATCGCTACAAGTAATATAAAAAGCCGTTTTATATTACGGCTTTTTGAATAACGGCTTTTTATCATACTTGTAGCGATTGATAAAGGGTTGTACCCGAAAACTTTTTCACTATTATTTCACATTTTTCTAACGTTGAGGATAATTGGTCAATGTTCTCTTTCATTATAACAATGTTATTCCTCACAACGCTCAAATATCTTCACAAGTACCAGAAAGGCTGAATATCAGCATGAGTATGCAGACTCTGATATCTACTCACCCAACTGACAGTGTACCTATCGAGGAGCGTCTTAGTTCGTTAATTGTGCGTAAAATTTGAATTCAGTCGTGACACAGCTTAGCTGTCACGGCACCATTTAAACTGCAGATGGAGGGAACGTTCAATCTCTCTGAGCGATCAAATATGTCTTGGGAACTCGAAATCTTTCACTGACTTAATTTTTCTAGCCTATATCAATCCCTCATTATTCCCAAAGACGGTTTGAACCTTTAGGCAATGCAACTTGCACAAGAACTCATTAAAATATCGTTCGTCTAATCCTTCCCGGCAGAGACGGGTATGATAGGCTAGGGGGCTGGAGCTAACCATTGATGCTTTTTTGCGATTATTCGGAACGCATTATGGGAGACTACAGTTTTGGTTCCAGTCAGGTTACCACCGCCTATGACTTGATAAGTGGGCATCAGCTTGGTCCAAAAATGTTACGACTTCGCAACGTATTGAGTACCAGGAATAGTTGACAGGGAGATGGAACATTAGGAAGCTTTTCAGTCTTCACAATTTGTGAATCACAGTCTCGGATTTTCGTATAATGGTCACTTGGGGCCAGGTCCTTCATTTAACATCACCATTAGGTATATTTTAATTGAGGAGAAACATGAAAGTCACATTTTGCCGCTGGGAATGATCAAAGACTATCTTAACCCTCGCCCTGGCAGGGGGTTTGATGCGACCCACCTAAGGTTTTTCAAAGATAGCGTAAAGACGGCGGCGCACAGCGCCGCCAAATTTGGCACAGCCTATGGGGCAACCTTTTTACATATGACCTTGAAATTTCAGGTCCGGGTGACCTTGGGTCAGGTCACCAGGTCAGAAAAACCGGTACAAGGTCATGGTCAAATTTCAATTTTCTTTTTGCACCTGTCCAACTCACAGTTTTGGACTGATTTCCTTCAAACTTTCAGGGTGTGCTAAGTTCACCGAGTTGTATAACATATAGTTCGGGTTTTTTGAGGTCACTGACCTGAGGTCAGTTAGAGGTCATTACGTCGTAATGTTAAGCCTATGGGAAAATACTAAATTCGGGAAATACTGGAGATATCCGCATCGTTCTATCACTTTTGTGCTTTGAAACCACAGTACTTAGCAGCAGGTCACTTAGTGCTTCTTTGTTTGGTATACTTATCCATGGGTCAGGTCAAATGAGGTCAACTGAGGTCAAATGACGTTTTAGCCAATAACTTGGCACATAATGACGCTAGAGCTTAAAAAATGGTATCATTGTGTTCCTGGTGATCAGCCAAATCGAATGATATGCGATATGATGCAATTTGGTTAACTTGAACTTAACTAATTAAATAAAGTTTACTTAAAATTTAAGAAAAACTTTAAGTACACTTAAGCAAGGTAAAAAGTATATCATTCGACGCGCCTTGACGTGCTGAGTTCACTGGTGCTTTTCTTTTTGCTCTATCTTAATTAGATCAAAAGTTATAAGCGAAAACTTTTGACCTGTTTTTAGCGAAATTTTTACATTTCTACCCCCAAAACCCCCCTAAATATTGACCTAGAGCAACCAAATTTGCACAGGGGCGAGAACTCCAGGGGCCCACCTACTTACCAAATTTGGTGTTTCTAGGTGCCATAGGAGCCAATCGCGAGGGGGGGGGGGGGTCGCATCGACCCCCCCTGCCAGGCCGTGTTATGAAAAATGCCCTGCCAGGGCGAGGGTTAAACATATTGAATCGTGATTGCCCAGTCCTTATAAAGTATACTAATTACGTTTTGCAGTGAGTACATTACAGGACGTCATATGTATGTATATGACACCAATAACGTTACCTGTGGTTACCGGAAGTTTGCGTGAATAATTCTCGACCAAAATGCCGTTGTGATTTGTGAACTTACCCAGAATGAATTGCCTAAGCCAATGATATGCTGCATGGCATTTCTCGACTTAATTTCGTGAGCTGAGCCACTTTGACCTGATCTTGACCTGAGTTAAACATTCTAAGCTGAAGCCTTGCTCAAATAAAAGTACTCTACATATGTTAAATGACGCGACTTATCATTACAAACACGATGGTGCCAAATCCGCAGCCCTGCGACCACTCTTATGCAATAGCCATTTGAACGTGGCGATATGTGATTGTAGATACATGCACTGTACTGGCACGTAGCGCCTACCCTCCTGTACATACGTTTTAATAATATGACGTGTGACGACGAAAAACCATGATTGAATGGATTTGTCACGAAATAACTATATTCTGATTCTGATTCTTGCAAGCAACTGGAATTCTACCTTGAGGCTTTTTACCTGCCCCCGAGGTCATCGGTTGAGCTGAAATCTTAAAATCAGGTATGAATGAACCAGTCTCTTCGTCTTATAACAGCAATCACGATCGTTTTTCCACAGTGTTCCAGCTCAAATGTGGGCAAAACGGCAAAGAGGTGGTTGTCCCCTTTGGCCCTCATTTCTATCGGCTGAGCCTAGCGTTGAGAACCGATAGGTAAGGCGAGGGCTAGGCACTAGCCCACGCCACTATAGCAATATATGAATACATTTACTCTTTTATATATGTTGCAGGCACTTTAGAAAATCAGTCATTTTGTAAAATGCCTAGGCATTTTACAAAAAGACGACTGTTTGAAAAATGACTGAACGCAACCAGGCTTTTTTCAAAATGGCTAGCCATTTTACAAAATGACTAGGCATTTTGCAAAATGCCTGACCAGCATGGAACGTAGATCCCACTACAGATACTACGGCCAACAGTTTTTGGACGTCTTCCTATACCCTATAGGTACGTGTTCAGCCTGTGGCTGATCGATTTGAAGCTCTGTGATGACGACAATGCTGAGTTACGACCAGGTTGAGTTGCAGACTCGGCTGTAGCATAAAGCATTGTTTAGTTAACGCTGTAAAAACTCCCAAGTACATCAACGCCGTTCATGTTCTGCCTGAAACTAGACTGACTGACTGTAGGTTGATAAGAAGTCTACTATTTCTGTCCGTTCCTGGTTCGTTATGAATTGATGGTTTTTGCCAGCACTTGAGTCTATGATCTCCGCCGGTGCGAGCGACTTTAGCGAGTGTCATTTGAGCGAACGTCATTTGAGCGAACCATTTTCAGCGACTGGCAACCTAGCGAATATCAAATTGAGCGATTATCAAATATAGCGATTATCAATTTAAGCTAAAGCTATATGTTTCAACGACATCTTTTTCGTCGACTACAGTTTGAGCGACTGTCATTTCAGCGAACCACTTCATCGTCCCGTATTTTTTCTTTTTCTTTTGCGAGCGTTCGCACAACGAATGTTCCCGGAACTTTTCATGTTTATCCGGAACTGGATGGCGGACGTCACGTTCAAAGTTCAGACATTAACCCGGCGGCCGCTGGGCCTCCGCGCCACCCGCCGGCCGCTGGGGGGGGGGGGCATATAGTTGCCCCCCCCCTTTACTTCTGCGACGATATCGTCGCAACGCGAAAAGATAAATAAGCGAAACTTTGCACACACCTTCCTGAATACCTAGCCGAGGTTGTGTCCAAATTTGGTGTCGATCTCATTTGAAATGACGTCACAGTGACGTCATAAGTCAAATTATAGATTTGCGACTCGCAGTTTCCTCATGATATATCAGATACATGGGACCGAATATAAAGGGCCGATTATTGGTCAGGAACTAGATGGAAGTGTACTTAGATATTTTAGGATGACAGCAGGTGCTGTCTAGTTCATTTACAGTTGAGTTTCATGCTCAGCGACACCAGAAACGGTCCATATCGGAAAACGACAAAATTTTATGACGTCACTGTGACGTCATCTTAAGTGCTACAACCACCAAACTTTCCACAAATATTGCGTAGGTAGGGGAGAGTGGGGAAAGATGCCCAGGGTTTTGCTATGTCATATATTATTCGAAAATGACGATGGGAAAGCAAAAACTTGGAGTTTCAACGGAAGCCGACATCATTTTTCTCCAAAAATATCACACTTTCGTGCCTGAAATATCATAACTTTTTTTGCTATTAAGCATTTTCCTGAAGAAGTGAAAGGGGGCATCTTACCCCACAGGGTGGGAAAGACGCCCCCTGACGTTGGGAAAGATGCCCCCTGCACTATAAGTGACATAAATGGGCACGTGAATCGCCTGAACGAATCAGTAGTCCCTTCGAGCCTGCAGTAGACACCAAACGTCATCATAAGGGCCCTCAAAAGTAGTCGTAAGGGCTTCAGAGGTCATCGTTAGGGCCATCATAGTCCAGCGCGGCCAAACAAGCCTCCGTGGTGGCGTTCGGAGACCACTGTGGGGCTCTTATAGGTCTTCATGATGCTTGAGGGCCCTCGAGCCCATCGTGGGGACCTCCGATGCCAGCGCGGCCCGTGGGGCCAACGTGGGAGCCCTCAAAGGATGTCGTGAGGGGCCCTGGAGCCAATAATGGGGCCCACAGAGGCCGTCGTGAGGGCTCTCAGAGTCAGATGCCGCCCAAAAAGTCGCTATGTGGGCCGAGAGACCGGCATAGGGAGCACCCGACCGTACTGGACTCTCAATAGTCCCAGATCGGCTTTTGTCTACATCACAAGTATGTAATAAATGA